CATACTAGCCGAGAGCTAAAGTTAACCCGCTCGGTCTTATAGCGAGGGGTTCAGGTCCTGCTTTAGACCGAGCTACACGTCAGTATAAAGGTATCTTCGACTTTTAGCTCGCTCTAAATGCGTTATGTGACAACCAGCCCCCATTTCAAGCCATTATACTGGGGGTCGTCCTGTATCCGCCCTCCAGATCCGGACTGTAAGCGGGATAGGAACCCCAGTATAAAAGTAATCGTGGCGTTCGAAAAACAGCTGTAGCCCGGAGCTAGGAGAGTTATCTCCACCTCAGGTAGGTGGTTCAGGTTCCGCTCAGACCCGAGTCGCAACGAGTAAAGTTATCCCGCTTCAGAAGCGGGCTAAAGTCGTGCGCAGTATAAAACGACTTATCCCAAGCTAAAGTTATCCCGCTTCAGAAGCGGGCTAAAGTCGTGCGCAGTATAAAACGACTTATCCCGAGCTAAAGTTATCCCGCTTCAGCAGTATAAAACGACCTATCCCGAGCTAAAGTTATCCCGCTTTAGAAGCGGGCTAAAGTCGTGCGCAGTATAAAAGCGGAAAGAGTTACTACACTATGTGGTACTCTCTGCCATGATGTGAAAATCCTAGCTATCACAGAAGAAGAATATAGGAAATCATAACTGCATCATAGTCCTTGATAGGGTTGGATATCAAATACAAGGCAATTGATATTATATCTTGCAAATATGAATTAAGATTTATAGTTTCTGCAGATATATGTCGTATAACATTAGATTCCGAGCATCATGAATTATACGAGCGTTTATTAGACCTTTCCTGTTTTAATCTAAGAGCCAATTCTCAAAAGAGGCATAGAAGATGAAAACCGTGGCACCCCTCTTGCGTACTTGCTATGATGGCATAATATGATAGTACAATACCTATAAAATATTTTCAGTTATGATTTACTGAGGGGACTAATGGCACGTCACAATGCCAGTGACCAATATGGTGGTGCTGAATAATTTCTGGTCACGTAAAAAAAGAAGGTGGTATGGTTCAGATGTTACCTGGTAACATGGCTTTTCCAACTACTTGGCCGTACATATTGTATATTTTCACGTGGGATTTTTTTGAAAGGACAGGAACAGCTCTTCACGTTGAGATATATTTTAAATGCATGGTCTGTGTTGGGCCGATGACATCACAACACCAGAATATTATAGAGTTATGTGTAAGCGCAATTCATGCTCATTCGAAAACATACAATATGTAGGCCCAAGGGCAGGTAATTGAAAAAGTTACAAGGCCATATACAAGCTATACCCCCTTATCTTTTCATAATAAGAAATTATTAGGTACCAACAAAATTGTTAACATGGTGATGTCCCATTGTTTCCTTAGTACATCATACGTGACATTATTCCGTAGGTATTGTACAGTAATTTTATGTAATTTTACTAGACTAAGTAAGCAAGTAGGCTTCATTTTGCATTTATGCTAGATTTTCATTTTGTCAGGGTTCTGACTCCTAGGTTATCATGATTGCAAAGTTTACTATATTAGATATTTCCATTACCTGTTTAGGTCTTCATGTTATGTGTTTTATATACTTTTGCCCGTGTCATAATTAACCAGAACCTTACTCTAGCTTGCCCAGGGTTTTGCTCCAAGTTGAAGCCACAGTGTGCCTAATGAACACACATGGTTTACTATCACGTGTAAAAATACTTCTGATGAGTATTTCGCAAAGGCATCTTATGTTTATGCTTGCAGTATTGAAGTTATGTGATACTAACCCAGAGGGAGGGGGGGGGGAAAGAGAGGAGAGACAAAAGTGTTACAATCAGCATCTCTAAATGGTTATGTCAAATATGTACATACACATTCCATGTTGGAGTTTCATAACGTTTTATTGAACACTTTTTTGGTAACAGCAACAATCAAAAACCTAAAATACTATAACATTGCATTATTGCCGTAAATCGTTTACACATCACAAACTTCATCATAGAAATAAATAAAAAGTTTAAACTTTAATTAAAAAACACTGGGGGTCATTACTTATTTTAGAGCGTATGCACGGCTGCCTTCCCTCTAATGTCCAGAGATACTAAATTCATTGCTCCTGCAGCAAATGTATAGTGCTAGCTAGCTGCACGTTCGTTAAAACAGCTACTTAACACTCGTAAAAGTACATGTGATTATACTGGCTGTGATGGAAACACTGTTGTGGTGGTTCACATTCCCACTGTGTGTGGAATTCAGTGACTATCAGTCGTGGATGGTTGGTATGGTTGCTGCTGAGTCGGTGCTGAGCAAGGAATAGCACGCTAGTGGTAGAGGCTGCCGAGGCTACCGACGGAAAGAGGAAGCCCACCATGTCCTTTTCCTCCACCTCCACCTCCTCCATACCCACCTCCTCCGCGACCACCTCCTCCGTGCCCACCTCCTCCGCGACCACCTCCTCCGTGCCCCCCTCCGTATCCTCCCCCGCCGCCATGACCCTGTCTGTGGAAGCCGCCATGTCCGCTGCCACCTCCTCCGTATCCGCCTCCGTGTCCACGACTTCCGTATCCACCTCCTCCTCCTCCGTATCCACCTCCTCCTCCGTAACCACCATTGCCTCCCCCGTAGCCGCGGTAACTCTTAATCGGCGGTGGCGGCGGCGGTGGGCCTGGAGCAGGCGGGGCATTGGGTGCCCTGGCAGGAGAGGGCGGGTGAGGACGGGATGGCGGCCGTGGAGGCGATATCTTGTAACCTCCACTTTTGTAGCTGTTGCTGTGTCCGTACCCTCCGTTTCCACCTCCTCCGTATCCACTACCCAGCACTACCGTCCCCTGAAACGTGCAAGACCCTCACATTTGTCAATGAATCGGTAGTTCGATAATGCCTAGCCTCTTATTTTACGTAACCGGCGATCCACGCCTGGCCAATGGAAAATAACGTTCAACATAGTGCCCCTCTTGTGGGAAATTTACCGTGACATATAAATGCGAAAAAGATGCGTAAGTACGTACCGTGACCGCGAGGAGTACCACTGTTAAGAACAGGCTCGGTCGAATCATGGTGTCGAATGCAGATAGATCTGCAGTACGTAGGTAGCTGCTTTGGGACCTCCTACTGGCTGGCGTCTAATTGAAGCAGCCGGCACCGTGTAGGTTTTATATGCACCGTCAGTGACCTGGGCCCTGGCACGGAACATCAATTACCCATCGAATCTATGCTCCGTTCTGTTTGCCATGCACTTCACTGTTTGCATGTGGAAGCGTGAAAGGATGCTTTGTCTTTTCAACTAAATTGGTTTTCCTTCAAATATCTGTAGCGGCTGGCTGTTCCTTGCCGCTGGGTATCACCAGCTGATAGCAGATTTGAGCCTGGTAACAGTGACATGGTTTTTACGTCGGTTCCACGCTAATTTGCAAGAAAACTAGTTCATTGTTTTACTGTATTATTTCAACAGATCGTGTTGGCTGATGATGAGTTTCACCTCGTGCTTTGTCGGTGTACGCTATATCCTGTTAGTTTAGCCAAGATTGATTTGAACTAGTTGCCATTTAAAAATACCAGAATGTCAATAAATTAGTTTGTTATTTGTCAACTGATGATCTGTAATTACCTTTCCGAAACTACTTTACAGTCCACATGAAAGTTTTCTAAGTTATAATGCATCTTTTAAAGAAAGCAAATAATGACTATATAAAAGGTGCCAGTCAGAGGTTTTTAAAATATAAAGACTGGTAGTCCTTTTTAAATCGAGTCCTAATCTGGAGATGTAGATATATTAAGGCATAGATTAACACTTATTAAAATGTACTCCTGACATGTTGTACTACTGATATTATTGTATTCTATTATGCATCCTGCATCACATTTTCGTTTATTTTTGGTGGCAGTGTAGTGTATGCTATATATTTTTCTATTAACTATTAAATTACATAGATGTATTGAGGTTTGGATGTCAGTTTTAGTGTGTTTAATTGCGAGTGTTAGTAAGTTTAGTGAGTTGCTAGGACTATTTCATTTGTGTGGCATTTCTGCCAAAGATAGCCGATCAATAAGTTACATCGCTCTAAATTACATTGAAACATAATTTACAATATACTAATATATGATTATAAGCATTTTACGAATAAATTTGTGTTATCATTCTGCATTATTTCCACGTATATCTTTAGCTTATAACTGTAACGAATACATCATAATTGTTAATAATTGATCATTGCTCACTCTAGGTTATTTGTTCAATGTAACCCGCATCATCATTTCAGATATGACTCGGCAGTCAGATGTGGTTGATCCACTAAAGGGTGCCTCCACTGCCGGCGTCGATGTGGGCCTTTCTCCAGCCAGTGCCTACGGAAACCCTGCGGATAACACCGATCACGTAATCATCGTGGACGAGTCGCGTGCCTGTGAATCGAGCTTGCGGAATAAGGACCGGGAGCCATCCCCGTACATCCCCAAGGGCTACAGGGACATATTCGGTCTGATCCCGGAGGACCAGGAGGCGGAACCCGCGTTAGAGGCGGTCGTGCCGTGCGGCGGCGGCGGCGGAGGCCGGCCGACGAAAGCCAGCCTCAACGCGCCCGAGTGGGACCCGTTTGCCAGCATCCCGGAGGAGCAGCTGGAGGAACTAGCCCTGAAGCCGATCCGGCATCGCAAGGCCGTGCGCAGGAAAAAGGGCCGCGCCGAGCGCTCGGGCAGCTTGACCGACGCAGAGGGGCCGCCCCCGGGCAGCTCGCGGCTCACGAGCGTGCGCCGTGGCCGGCTGTCGCACCCCGTGCCGGGCCTGCGACCCGAGCCAGTCGTGCTGACCTCGTTTGACCTCGGGCTGACGCGGCAGGCGCCGGGCAGCAGTCGGCACCGCTCGTGCCAGAAGCGTGCGGTGCGCGACGCGGACACCGTCGACACTGCGTGGCCGGCGTGCGACGCCGCGGGTCAGTCCGGCGGCGGCGGCGCGATGACGGCGCAGGTGTCCAGCATGTCCGACATAGTGTTCGAGAACGAGCTCTTCAGGAACCGCGTTGGCGCGGCGAGCGCCGGTGGCGCCACCTGGCAGCGAACTAGTGAAGCGAAGCCGCCGGCGCGCGGCGGAGGGAAGCGCCGCAGCCATCAGAAGGGAGGCAGCGGTCGTCACAGCGTGAAGCCCTCGGCGGGTACTGAGGACGTCGCCACGACGACGACGGATGCCGCGTGCAAGGAGGAAGCTAAGCTGGTTGCGTCTGCCTGCAGCCCACGCTCGAGTGGAGAGGCGAGCGACTACACGACAGCAAGTGAAGCCACGCTGAAGGCTGATAGCATCCCCAGCGAGCTCCCTGTGAATGCTGCAGAGCAGCTACCACATGAGGGCACCCCGTGCGAGAACGATGCTGCTACTAGTACTACTGCTACGGAGGAGGAGTACAGTGCTGTGGTGGTTGCAGAGCCGTTGAAGAAGACTATTCATGACTATCTGAAGAGCAGCCAGTCTGGTGGCAATGTAGTGGGCCTAGACTGGCTTTTCAACAATGGTGACACGTCGCCAGCAACGGGTGAGTTATGTTTGACAGCAATGTTAATGTTGATACATGTGAGCAATATGTTACCAGGGTTTCTTCTGAGGGAAACTTAGACAAAGGAGGTAATGGCCAGTTTGGGGAAAAAACGCACATGATGGATTCAAATACTGGATGTATTGATATACTTATAGGTATATAGATGTACAGGATATACTTATCAGTAAATACAGGAACATTTTCACAACGGCGATGTTAAATTTGACAATGGCGGTGCGCCACTGTGCCTCCTGTGTAGAAGAAACCCTGTGTTACAGACAACCCTAACAAAACTTTTATGTGTGAGCCACAGAGCATGATATAATGATTTATCATTCCATGGTACTATTACCTTGTATATATGTGGTATTATATTTATAACCAGTTCTCTTACTGAATTTTTGCATTCTTTTAAAAAAAGGGATACCTCATGTTTTTTCTAACCATTTTCATATTTGCTAATAAAGTTATTTATTAGCTATAATTAAATTATAGAGATCCGATGAAGTTATTTAATCAAACATTTTCATATTTTTTCGACTGTACAGTTTTGATACTTACCGATAACATGTCATAGAACGTTCGCACATCATTCCTCTCACCAATATGTGCACTGATCTGCATTTCAAATTAGATTTGTTTACAGATATATATATGTCAACATCACTCGCACATGATTTCTATCGCGAGATGCCATCAACCGGTACCCTGTCTCTACTCTATGTTACCTTTGTCTACGTATCGAGCTAAACTGTGTACCAGTCTAGAACAAATAAGGTCACATAAATACGTGCATTTGTTTTGCGACAGTATTTTGCTGTTCATTTATGTTGAAATTATATGAATTTTATATTTATTATAATTATTGAATTTTTATGTTCAAGTAATCTGCATTTATTAAATTCTCAATTTCTTTGAGAGCTGATCATTGGAGATAGACTAAACAAATATTTTACTAATCGTTTATGAACACTTGAGCATGTGAACTGCTGTATTCATGTCACTTTTTTGTTGTTAAGATCTGACAATTAAAATTATTTCTTAGCCATGACTTATATAAGTGATACAGATTGACTAGACACATTGCTGCAGTGATGCTGGCAGATAAACGGATTGAGAAGCCGATCCTACAGCTGATCACTTGTTTTCCGGTGCTACAGAGGCATGGGCGGACGAGCGGGCGGAGACTCTAAGCCCACAGCTGATCACTTGTTTTCCCATTGCTACAGAGGCACGGGCGGACGAGCGAGCGGAGACTCTAAGCCTACAGCTGGAGCCAGCACACCCACGCCCGCGACACAAGCACACGTCAAGCGCCCCAGCAAAGCTAGTGCTCACTGACACCTTGTCTCCAACCTCCTCCACCAAGCTTCTCCTCTCCGGAAGCACTACCACGTCCCCGTCATCTGAGGACACGGCTGTGATGGCGCCACCGGAGAGCAGCCGCAGCCAGGGGGCGATACCGAAGCGGCGTCCACATCGATCTTCTAGCACACCGGAAGGTAGACTATCATGTTGGTCATTACTGCTGTCGGTACACATTAACACATTGGGTTTTTTTTTTATTCTTCACTGTGTAGCATAGATGTTGGCATGAATTAAAACCATCGAACACTAATTTTTAATCCTGCCATTCCAGAACCGGCTCGAGTTTGGGTTTAGATTAGATGAATTATGTGAGCATTATTGTTAGGAATTCAGCACAGTTTATTTCTGTATTCAGACTGTCTTCAGTACATGTATTTGATGATATATATAACGTATAACAATAATAATAATTTAGTCCAAGTGACAATGTTCTTGTTCAAATCAAGATAACTAGTGAATTGACTAAGCGAGTGTTCATCAATGATTGCATGTATGTCGTTACAGAGCCTAGCTCTGACTCCATGGACCTCGGCCGCCTAGCCAGCTTCCTGATGAAAATGGATGATGAGGCTCCGGCAGGGAGAACGATTGAACTAGGTCGCATCAAAGACAAAGTGCCACGTGCAGGTGAGAGGCGTATGCACCATGGAATACCTCGAGTCAAAATTAACATTTCAACTTCCGTGACGATTAGATCTCCGGATGAAAAAGTGAAAGTAACTATGCACTTTTCTATTGGAAAATTTTAATAAAGCATTCTTATCACATATTGCCTTAATATTTTGGTGTTACACTGTATAGCCCTGCTGAACCTTCCCCACCATCCAGTGTGAGATATCCTGTGAACAGATGACTTTAAGTATCTGATACTCAATACTATTACTAAGCATTTCTACTAGGAAGGCTTCAAACTTACTTTTGCAGAAGTAGTGGTTTTTCAAAAAAACGTTTACCCCTGTAAATTGCATTAATAATTTTCCATTCCTTAAATATGTACCGAAGTTGTAGAAAATAGTAAACATTTTGAAACTTTGTCTTTTTGTTATTTATTATTCATAGGCGGGGTTAGTAGAGGTAGAGGGTGTAGAGACGCTGATAGGGTCTATGTCTCCCTGGGTACGGTCCGGTATACCGGAATGTACCCTGGTAACTATCTGATATGGTTAGGGTTAGGGAGTAGGCGTAGGCGACTCCTTAGACTCGTTAGTGGAGTAGGCGAGGTACGGTCCGGCATATTAGATAGTACCAGGGTACCCTCCGATAGTACCCTGGGAGACATAGACCCTGGCAGCTGTAGTGACTTGTGTTTGTGGCGTAGTGTCGATGAGCTTGCTCATCATGAGACAAGCATATGTTTCAGGTTTAGATTCACCGAGTAAGAGCAAGGTGAAAGCACGGCGGCGGCACACTGCAGGGTCAGTGTGTTCAACCGGCAACTACAACATGCCTGAGCTGTCCTCGCTTCTACATGCTAGGAGTGATAGCAGCAGCAGCATCCGATCTAGAAGGTACACCGTCAGAGGTTAATAATGACAAATTTGTCATTGTAATTTTTGTAATTTTTTGTCATTTTGTAATTTTTTGTCAAATTCCCATCTGTCATTATCAATCCCCGGACAAATCTCACTGCATGCATGTGTGCATGGCACTGTCGGCACATCAATACGAACATGGGTGCATACACACACACCATGTACATCACGCACATGTGTGCACACGCGCGCATGTACATCACACATTGCTAATTGTATCCCCCGCGACGAAGTTGGCGGGGATACTATGGTTTCATGTATCCCCAGCCGCCGCAGACAATTGCCCTTCCGCTCTATAACTCGGCCCCTAATTGACCTAGCGCTACCAAA